TAAGTATAAAAGATATATACGTTAATAAACTTATAAAGCTACTTAGCCTAATTAAATATAATTAATTCCATTAATAATTATAACTTTAATATATTTAAACGAATAATACATTTTATATATAAAACTATAAGTAATAACTATAAATAAAATGAATAAATTAAAGGAAATAATAACGTAAATACCAGATTTTCATGTATATTAAATATTACAGCTCAGCTAAGAGGAGGTGTTAAGGGTGGTCACGTGATAAGGGTTTAACCTCACGTGATGCCTATAGCATCGTATATTCCCGGCTTATTAGCCTTATTATTAGTTCGGCTAAGATAGTTTAATGCAATTGCTATTTCGTCAGCCTTACCTCCCTTCACACTGTCAGACGGTTCATGTCGTAGTTACACAAGGACTACGATCACGAGACCTGGGCATAAGGCTCACCGCTGCTTTGAGAGAGCTCTTTAGGTCATTTAGTCGTTGAGGAAACTAAGGACCTCAATACTAAAGGATGGTATTAATAATTATATTCGCTAGAAAAAGTAAAGCTGGTATTAAACCAGCTACCCAACCCTTTATTAAATAACGTGAGGCCTCTAGTAATCCCTGTGGCTAACGACCTGCTAAAGCCTGACACCTAACAAGAGAGGGAACACGCTGCGGGGGTTTACTCCTCACTTGTCGTCCTGCTGCCTAGTAGTATTCACTCTTGGCTTCATCCATCTTCTCAGAATTAGCCGTCCACACCAAAAGCAATATCACTAGCGGCAAGCATGAATCAATAACCAGATATAGTTAAGAAGCAGAGAAGAGAGGAAAAAAACAACCCCGAGATAAAATAAGACAACTGGTCTCGGGCACGATGGATAGCACCACCCATCAGGTTCCCGAGTATGCCCGCCGGGTAAAACACACAGTGGTCCCGCCGGCAGAAGAAGACGTACGGGTTACCGAGATTCAACTAGTCATAAGACAAGGCCCGACAAGTCAACCAGATACAGAGTCCAAGTCGAATGGCAACGTTGAGCCAGCCGCCAAAGACGAAGAATTGGGCGCCTGGGAGACAAACGAAGGCACGGTCCGCGGGAACGTCGTCGTCTGGCAGCCAAGTCACCAACTCTATCCACAGAGCGACGACACCGACGTCGAACTCGAACTCGAAGACGACCAAATTGCTATATCAGCCAGCGCAATCACGACTTTGCAAATCCCAGGCACCACCTTCAGCTTCGCCAAAACCCTTCACACGCCATACATGGGCGCAGGCGTGGTGGACATTCCCCCCGGCGGCGAGAAGAGACCCAAGAACACAAGAACGATGCAAATAGTGTTTTTTGTGCATTATGGAAAGGTGTTGGTGACGGTCAACGACACCAGGTTTCGAATCTCGACTGGTGGGATCTGGACTGTGCCTAGAGGTGAGTTTTTGTTCGGGCCCGGGATTGTGTATAGGTGTCGAGGTTTACTGATTGCTTCTAGGGAATTATTATCGTATTGAGAATGATGGTGAAGGTCCTGCGAGGATCTTCTTCTCGCAGGCTTGGGAACCATGCCCGAGACTTTGTGATGCTACGGGACCAGTCGTCTGGGTGTCTTGGTATTATGCAGCCCTTCCCGTGATTTTTGAAAGTTGAATGCCAGGGAACTTGAATCTTTTTTGTGTATCCTTTTCGCCCATGACGTTGGTCCCTTGGGTAGACGTGGTCGACTTCTGGGCCTGGGAGTTGGTCTCGTGGTCCTAATCTCGCCCCCAGTTCCAATATTCTCCCTTGTTCTTGTTTTACAGGCGCTACTATACAATGCGACATTCCGCCTCCTAATCATTATGTACACCCGAGTAGGGAATATGCTCCATGCAGAAAACTGTCGAGCTCGAGAGCCAAGACTCACAACGATACAAACGCAGCCATGAGGGAAACAAAAGACGCCAAGAGTACAGGCGAGGCCTTGGCACCCGCACTCGACATCCTGTAGACGCTCAGCTTGAGAGACCCTCCACAGGCTAATGAGTTGTTCCCTTCGCAGGGGAAGTTGCACTCTCCATCGTCGAGCTTTGCCGAAATACCGGCTATGCTCTGCGCACACCAGCACTCCCTGCCAAAAAGTCAGCTCCTCGCGGCCCCTTTTTACACGCCAGAGTCGCGCCCAATTTTTCTATTTTTTCGTGTCACGATTTCTTCAAGCTCACCTGGCCCATTCCAGCCCTGCATAGCGATAGTGAGTGCCATTCTCCCCATAGTTGCAAAAGTCAAGGCACATTGGTACCGTCATCTCGCCCTTCCTGACTTCATTTGCGCCGCCGGACAAGGCGCGTGAGTGGTCCGAGCCCTCGATTTCAGTAGTTTCGTTGTAGCACCCGTAGTAGGTGTATGTTTTGGATCCCTTGTAGGTTTGCACAGCAGAGCTCTGCTGCGCTGCCGCGAGGGTGAGAGAGGAGGCTAGGAGCAGGAGGAGGCGAAAGAGTATCATGGTGAAGCACCCGGCGACTGGTATTTGGAGAACGTCGGGTAGGATAGGCACAGATTGATGTCCCTATAGAGCAATTGAATCGGCTTTGCGGCAGATGATGCAATCGGACGTCAGGGGCTGGGCAAGGCCATGACAGGCAGTTTGTTGTTCAGTTTTTGTTTAGCTTCATGGGAGGCTTAGTCAGGAGCTGATGCGGCTGGACGCACGGCCAAAACTCGGCTGCAAGCTGCATCATTTGATTACGCTGTTTATTGAAAAGGTACATGGACCGTCAATGACTGGTGTAATGTCAATATTCTTTTAGTATAAAACTCCCTGGCAGTTGTCCCCCGAGCAGAGGGATCGACACTGGACAGATAGCCCATTCAACGCTCACTCCCCACCACTCGATTGCGCCTCCCTCATTTCCCCAACTTTTCTCACCTCAACACCATCACCGTCACCAGTTGGCCACTCGCCAACATGGCCCAAGACGTCAGTCTTCCTTACAACGTATGCGTCTTTACATCAACCCTCTTCCTCCTCGAGTTTGCCACCGACAAATTCATATCCCACGCCGCAACGTTAGCCTCCCTCATAAACGTGTCAGAACTCCTCATTGGATTGGTTACCGCCGGCGCCGAATGGGAAGAAGTAAGTCCGCACTCTGCTGCCATTACCCTCCTTTTGTTCACAGCCGCACACCCCCATCTCGCAATCCGCCATATAGTACTCGTTGACAAAGTCAGCTCGCTGTGGTAGTCTCCTCCCTTGGGCAGGGCCGTTCGTCCCTTGCCCTCGGCAATGTCATCGGCGCATCCATATCCAATATCCTAGGTGCCTTTTCTTTGGGGTTGCTTTGTTCCAGGGAAATTGAGTTTGATCGCGGCTCGAGGATCTACTCTCTGCTGACTCTTGTGCTGACCACGCTCGTTATTCCCGTGGTGTACTACTCCAGCAGAGTTACGTGGATTGTCTGCGGCTCCGTCTTGATCGTCGGGTTCGTTGTCTATTTCGTCTCTGTAGGTGTCGCGGTCGTCAAGGGCGTCCTTACAGCCCCCGAGGACTCCGACTCGGACGACGACAACGATGAAGATGAGGATGAAGACACTGAACGAACAGCCCTCATTGGCAACCCTTCGCCAAACCCGCCCCGTCGCTCCGTCGCCCATCACACTCTCCAACTCGTATTCGGCATTGTCGCCCTCGCCCTGTCAGCGTACATTCTCTCGCACTCCGCAGCGAATATCACTACGCAGCTGCACATGTCTGACATCTCATTTGGCGTCGTTGTCCTCTCCATCGCAACTACGCTTCCTGAGAAATTGATTTCCGTCGTGAGTGGATATAGAGGCCATGGCCAGATACTAGTTGCGAACTGCGCGGGGAGCAACATCTTCTTGTTGTCGTTGTGCTGCGGTATCATATTGATAAGTACCGGGGGAGAGCTGGACAGAGGGACAGTGACGATTGGGGAGCTCGCCGTCCTTTGGGTGTCTACGCTGGCTTTTACCGTGACAGTGTGGTTCAGGGGAAAGGGAGCCAAGGCAGTTGGAGTTGTCATGATTTTGGGATACATCGCATTCATAGTATTGGAGTATACCCTCACCCATCGGATAGACGTCTAGCCAGCCATCGCAACCATGATGGCATGGTGTCGATGCAGGTCCCCTCAACTAGCCTCCGGCGCGTCCCCTCCGTTTTTATTTCACAATTCGCCTGGGCAGTCAATATCGAAACGAAAAAGCTAGATATTGAAAGAGCTAGCTATTAAATACAGCTACAGCTTTATCTAGCTAATCGAAAAGCTATCTATAGCTTACAGAGCTTTATTATAAGCTCTATAAGCGGCTATTATAGCGTTATAGCCAACGAAGAAAATCTAGCAGCCCAACTAAGGCTACTAAAAGACAGGCTAAAACCAGCCTCCTGGGACTATCAAAGAGAGGTCTTACAGGCTTATAAAGGGTCAACACCACATATCCCTTTCTCTGCTTCTCGTCCTTCAACTTGATATCCCTGCAAACCCACGTACACGCCCAGGCGACTGCCACAATGCATGTGCTCGTGAGCAGCATGTACCGCTGCGACTCGGAATACGCCTTGGAAATGGCAACTCTCTCCTCTGATCCAGGTTCGTAGCTCATCTGCATAGGCAGACTGCCATAGATGCCATCAATCGGCGCGTCGGCGGCTAATCGCTTCCTCAAGGCGTCCTTGAATGTACCCGCCCAGATTGCAGATGAGATTGCTCGTCCAATAGCGTTACCAACGCCAGAAAACAAGTCGAGGATCGCGATGATGATGGCAACATGTTGGTCTGAAGGCGCCATCATGGCCATTTCGCCGGCAATGACGAGTGGGCCGCCGGCAAAGGCCACAAATGTTTTGGGTCATGATGACAAAACCGAGACTCTGGCTGGCTTGTCGAAAGTATATCATGAGACCGACGCCGAGGAGCATGAGGGGCAGGGCAACATGGTGCCGACTCATTTGAATCTCCCCGTGAGATGGATCAGGTAGCCAATGACTAGGCCAGAGAAACACGAGCCGACTCTGTAAATGTTGGAAATGTACGTTGCTTTGGTCACGCCCGTTTTCCAGACAACGAGCAGCGTAGAGGTGAAGAAACTCCCCCAGATGAGTGAGTTGGCAAACACAAAGAGAAACATGATGCCGGCGAAGAAGACTGTGCGGTCAGCAAGGAGACGCAGTGGGATAAAGGTGACTGGCGCGCCAAACTTTTCTCAAAGGACAAAGACGCCGATGAGAAGGCCGCCCACGACAATCATGGATATGACAAGAGCGCTTCTCCAGCCATCGTCTTGGTACTGGTATAATGCGAATGGGAGGAGGAACAGTGCCATGCCCGCGACCAAAGGAGCAGACCAATGAGATCAACGTCGATGGCGAACCTCTTGACAGCCGAGGCTGATGTCCCGAATGGACTTCTTTGGGGCCAGACCCTTCTTCTCGGCCTTGTTCAGATTCCATGCAAATATGAGCACCAGCGGCAGCACCACAACCGGTGTGATGATTGCCCACATGCCAAAACCCCATTACCAGCCAGGGCCCTTAATGACGCTCGTTGCCATCGGCCCACCAATCCAGGTGGTGACAATATAAGGGGATGTTGCAAAAGCCAACATGAGGGGTCGGTTTAGGAGGCTCGTTGTATCGGCGATGAAGATGGTCAAACAGTAGCTCACGCCCTGTGATATGTCATGGAGTCAGCATTCAGCTCGACCGCCGACCGCACCGTCATATCTCAGCATACCAGTTTGCGCAAACACTTGTGCTGCCGCGTACGTCTCAACATTCTTACACGCGGCCATCATGACCATGCCCATGACCCAAAAAGTCAGAGCCAGTGCCATACCTTGCGGCCGGCCGATAGTGTCCAAGATTTTGGCAATGGCCAGCTTTGAAAGACCGCCAACGATGCTGGATATGATGCGCATTGCCGCGGTGAAAGAATGCTTTTGAAACGTGCCAGCAACGAAAAATCCAAGGTGCGGAAAACAACTTCCATAATAGAAAGGATAAAGTATATGAGCCAAATGCTGCGCCGTACATGTCAGCAGGCTGGGCTGTTGTTGATCAATGAGCAGCGAAGGGGTCTACTTATTTGAGAAACGCAGCTACAAGATGCCATTTTGTCCAAACGGCCGCCGCAGCTTCAACTTTCTTGACGCCATCTTGCTTCTCTTCATCAGACGTTGACGTTTCCTCATCATTTTCCAACGAGTTCACCGGTACCTCAGAGCCGTGCACAGACGTATCCGGCTTTGTCTCTGATGTATTCTCCGAAGAGGCAGGAAATCGAGAAAAGTTGCCCATTTTCGACAGCGCCTTCTCTCTTTCTATGGCATGGACTTTGATCGTGGGGAGGTTGGAGAGGCCGCGTGCTTGAGGCATGACATGTCCCGAGACAAGGCCAAATGTACCGGCATTTCCAGTTTGAAATCTCCTCAGGGTGACCAATCCCGAATTTGAGATTCTTTGTTCTGTCAGGAACAGCCCACAATATCACCATCTCTAGCAACCGCAAAAACAGGGCAACAAAGCATCCTGTTCTGCAGTCGGTACACTTGTTTTCTCATTCGAATCTCACCATGAAGTCAACTCTGCTCCTCTTGACCTGCGCCTTTACCGGCAGTGTGGTTGCGCAGAGCAGAAAAAATTTACTTCCGAGTGCTCTCTCAAGTGTCTTGATCAGGCTACGAGACAGGCCACAGACTGTTCACTGGACGATGCCGTCTGTATGTGCGTTCAGAAGAACTATGAAGCCATCTACAACGCTGGCGTCAACTGCGTTCTGCAAGCATGTGGCCCAGATGAAGCTGTCGGTATGTTTTCATCTTCGTCAGCGACTCTGTATCCCGACGCAACTCACACTTTGGCGTAACAGGCAAGGTTCTGCCCGCTGGCGCAAGTTCTGTGCTGCTGCCACTGCTCAGGCCAAGACTAGAGGTGCTTCGAGGACTGCTACTCCCACGGCAACTGGTCCAGCCACTGGGGTTGTGACTGGTAACACTACTTCTGTTGTCTCGACACGATCCTCAACTGGTCAAGCCACTGGCACCTCCGCTCCCGGAGCTGGGGCCACTGATGCTCCAGAAAGGGCTCTCGGTCTGCTTGTCGCCGGGCTGTTGGCTGCCCTGTAATAGGCGGCAAACTGAATCATACCCTGGAAAACGGCGTCTCCAGGTGACGCCAGTACCTGTCTTTGCGTCCAGGCTTGTTCGTCGCGGTCCATTCCCCCTTGCAAGCCACGAGATGGGCCTCTGCAAACTTTTCTTGATCCGAGCTCTCAACTTATCAGTTCGCATGACACCGACTCTTCCCAGCGTGCCACCGGAGTAGTCGGTGATAGTGCTCATTGGACAACAGCCTGTTGGTATGCAAGACCGTCGCTCCAAGATGAGGTTGGTCGAAACTATTTCTTCTCCGCTGAATCGCAAAACAGGGACCAGAGAGCGTTTGTGGAGCCAAGCCGTCTTGGCTAAAATGTACTAGGCTATTGCCTGGTGGGGCGACCAAGGGTCAAGGGTTCCCGCTGTCGAGATAGCCAGGGCCCGAGGATCTGATAAGATGGGGTGCCATGATCCATCCTTGGGCGATTAGAATTTCAGCCACAGTAGCTTCCAGGCGGGGTTCCACCTCGCTCCGCCTGGAAAGGATGGATACACGCACTCGAGTATGGCCTCGGTGCTCTACCCTAATATGATTGCACCAGCATTAGATGAGAAAGAAAACTTACATAGATGAGAGAAAAAAGAGGAGAAACCAATTTCCAGGCATGCCTCGTGCGGTGTGGGCCCGACAGGTCCAGTCTCCATTCGGCTGTTATCTGATGATCTGATAACTGTGAAGCTCAAAACACCGAGAGCTATAGATTTAGGGTCCGATTAACAAGCACCCTCTCTGAGTTATCAAGCACCCTCATTGTGGCTTGCTGTGGCTGGGACACCTGATACCGGGCCCCCATAGATTCTTGTTTGGGGATAAGGGATAACGTAAAGGTTATCTGTACGGTCGCGCCTTTGTAAAAAATCACTTGAATTAATCTATTTAAATGAAGCTATTCAGAGATTTCTATCGTCGGCACCAGCTGTCGCATAATATCATCTATCGCAGCTGCCTGTTATGTCATTTCTTTAAAGACCTGATCCATTTTACCTTTGAATCGTGATACTTTAATAGCTGCGGGTGCTATTAAAGGCGGCGGTTATTGACGATTTTAATGATTTTTACGGTCGGCTCGAGCCTCGGCGGCTTCTTCAGATATCGTGCGTTATTTGTGGCCTGTTATTTTGGTGTTGTGGTGGTGTGGTGGGTGTGTGGTGCGCTGCAAGCGGCGTTAGTGGTGACTGTGAGGCCGGCCTGTCTAAATTGCCTTACTAATTACTAGTAAATTCCGACACCGGCACCTGAAGGGGCCCAGCCACAATGGGGGTGCTTGATAACTCAGAGAGGGTGCTTGTTAACTAGGGCCTAGATTTAATGGACCCATCAAAAAGACCAGACTCTACAGCACAAACGTGAAGAGCCACTCCGAGTTGAAGCAATTAATTGTTCTCGACTACGCCTCGAAAACAAGGCCTGCAACAAAACGAGTCGGGACTTTTGGGGCCTGCCATAATGGCTTGGCTCGCGGTGAGGTATATCTACCTTCTCGGGTGCGTTCCTAGTCGTCGTGGCTTTGTCCGCCGTTTGTCTAGTGTTCCGAGACATGATCACATTTTTCTCGAGCTTCAGCTTTCGTTCGTGTATCTTCTCCCTTCAGCGGCATCCATACATTCGTTCCTCAAGCTTTAGCATTTTCTCAAACATCATGAAGACTACATTTGTTGCTGCCGCCGCCCTGCTGGCCACTGTTTCTGCACAGTCCCTGTGTGCTGTCAGCTCGAGAAGGAAGGTTGCTGTAGATTCCATCTAGCTGACATCGTTCAAAAGGTCGGCTGCTTCCAGTCCGTAGTTACTGAGCATCCTCCTCTTTCCTGCAAGTAGGCCAATATGTACCTTTGCTTCTGCAAGGGCAAGGACCTCCAGAACTATTTCGCCGAGTGCGCTTACTCCAAGTGTGGTAACAATGCCCAAGATGCAGTCAACTTTGGTGTTGGTCTTTGCAAATGTTCGTGGAAGGCCGCCGATCCAAAGAAAATCATTTGGACTGACAGAGAGTCGTAGACATGGGTGTGACCATCGACCCTCCTACCCGTCCTGTGGTATGTTATCCTCCCCCAATGCGCTCAGCCAACAGACTCGACATATCTACTTTACTGACTTTTTCTTTTTCCTGCAACAAAACAGACCCCGACTGCCAGCCAGCTCCTGCCGTTACCACCCCATCCACGACCAGCAATGCTCCAGTTGATACCGCTGTCAAGTCGAGCACTGAGAACGATGTGATGACTGCCTCGACTGCCTTCTCAGCTACCACCTCAACTACCGCCTCAACTACCACCTCAGCTACCACCTCAGCTATAGCATCAACTGTAGTGCCGCCAGTACAGGGTCACTCCTCACAGGCCTCGTCCACCATTGCGACTGTTACCCAGCAGCCTTCTTACACCACCGACCAAACCGGAGCCCAGCCAACTTCTTCTGGTGTTGTGACCGCTGCCGTAAGTTTTCCACAAGCCTCTTTCCAAACTAATATGAACTAATTTTGGCAAGGGCGTGAACTTGAAACTTGGCACCGCCATGTTGGGTGCCCTGTGTTTCGGAGCTGCTGCGGTCCAACTTCTCTAAGTCAACTAATTGACTGTGTACCAGTCGTAGAAGTTTGTAACTTTCTCGGCACCAAGTGCAAGCTTCCTCCTTGTGCATGATAGTCGGTGGAAATCCAGTGCAGTTTTCTTTTCCTTGACAAATTGTTCCGTAAAGTGTGAATTGTTAATTACACATAATAAGCCCCAATATTCTGGGTCAAGAGATCAGTAATAGTTGAATCGAATAATGGGATGCAACGATTTCTCGCCAGCCTGCTGCACACTCCAAAAATTCTGCCGTAACTAGCCTGAAGCCCTCCCCGGTGAAAGGAGCTGATACCCTCTCACGGACCTTGGGAGCATGGCCCCTGTACTCCTCCGGGATAAAGGCGCAAGGAGCCGGTGTCGAAAGTTTTTAGCCGCTCCAAGCCAAGAGCGTATCTTGTGTTTGCGACGTCATATATCCCACCCGTAGATTATCAACGCCGTATACTAATCAACCTGGCCTCGCTTGCCACACGAAGAAGAATAAAGGCTGTCACACTATAAGGATTGGCCAGCCCGCTTCTGGGAAACTTGCCAATGTGGAGCAATTTCGTTGACTGCTTTATGTTCTGTGTGAGCCCTGAGCCCGCGCCCGAGCAAAAGATATATAGTCGGGTCCTCATGTTGAACAATCTCTTGTCGATCTTTTTCTTGAATTTCAACTCTACTCTAATTAAAAAGCTTCTTTTTATCTTGTCAAATCTGTCCAGCGTGGGTCAAGTCGTTCTCCCAGCCCTTATTCTAGATATTCGTCGCATCTATGATGTGTACTTTTCTGCCTTTGAGCACGACCTAATGGGTCAGATAATGCTCAAAATTCTTTTTCCAGGCGTGCAAATCACCGATGATGAATTTACAAAGAGCCACGCCGCCGGAACATTGCAGTACTGGCATACCAGTGACAACCAATACACGCTCAAGTGTGTCGACACATCCACAGGCGAAATTATCGGCATGGGTCTTGGTGATGTCTATCTTCGGGAGCGGTCTCCGGGGGAGCGCAAAAACCATGGAGTTCCTTGGTTGGAGGGAGAACACCAGGAACGAGCCAAGAAGGTCCTCAACCCCCTGTGGGAAATGAGAGAGAGACTCTTTGGTGGGCGGCCATACATCTGTAAGCGTAGCAATACAATGTGGCTTCTCACCATGTGGAAACTGACAAGAATCTAGACTGCCACGTTATTGCGGTGGATCCTCAGCTTCAAGGACGCAAGGCGGGACAGCTTCTGCTTCACTGGGGCATGCAGATGGGCGAGCTCGCCGGATTGCCCCCCTCGACGGTGAACTTGTACAAGAAGATGGGATTCGGGTTGCTGCCAGAAAAGATTGTTCACAGGGCCGAGGTACTTGGTACGGAAAAGGGCTTCGAGGTGCCCCTCATGGTCAAAATGCAGTGTGTTGCAGGAGGCGTAACTTTTGAGGAATGGCGTCAAAAATTATATCCCGAGTTTTCTAAGGATGCCCTGCCTGTCCCTGTGGCTGCCGTCTAGTAGTTAACTAATGTTTTGGCTTGATTTGTTGGTGGGTTTTTTGTCTTGGCATAATTGAACAGAGTTTTGGTGCGATTCCCCTGATCATCAGATAAAAGTCCGTGGCGGTTGTGCCTCATCATCCCTGCCGATTATAACCACACTCCTTGTCCACAGTTTTAATTGCCTCATCCAGTGCCATGGGTGTCCCGGCTGCCCGGTTAATCAGGCTACCGACAGTGTTGAGCTGGAGGCAATAAGTACTATTTGCCCACTCTTATATCACTCAACGCAACTGGGTGAGTAAATACTTACTACGTCTAACTGTAGATGGCCGATGTGAACAGTTACAACACTTCGGCCTTTAACTGTGACGAACTCGGGTTAGGAAGTCTAGCTCGCTCGTCTGTTGAACTGAAACACTCGGCAGCGGCATCCCATGTGCATCTTATGATCGGTCTTTGAATCTTTAAATATTGTAAAGTCCGAGCCTGTCTTTGCATGTCACATGTCATTGCAAATGCATAAATTAGCCGAGTCCCTTACAGGGTTTAAAAACTGTTTGTTACAAGTCATTGTCAGTAATTCTTCACGTTAAAAATTTATAATAGGAGGCTTACCACACTTTATACAAGCAATTTTTTTTTTCTTCACCCCGGGTCTAGTAATCAGTGACATTCTTGTTGAAGACGCCTGGTAAAGTTATCAACGTCTTGGTTTTCTGCATGGTACAGGGTATGTCAATTTTACACATGTCTGGCTCGTCCGAGCTGCTAGTGATAGACTTGCAGAATCATGACTACCAATTTTAAGCATTCTTTGGTCAGTCATTATTCGGTTGTCGTTGAGCCCTGGTTGGATTTGCGGCCAAGTCGAAAGATCATTCTGAGATGTCAATGTAGGAAGGCAAGAGCCACCGTCTTCGTAGGTTCCGCCGAGTCTCGCAGTTGAAGTGGTCGCTTGATTAGTGATTGATGAACAAGGGGGAGGGCAAAAAAAAGAGAAGAAAAAAAAGGGATCAAGGCATTCGCATATTGTCTTCTCAACCGGATAAACCAGTTGACTATTTTCCACTTTTGCTCAAGCAAAAGACGACGAGGAAAGAGCGCCTTCGAGATGGCCAATGATGGAGATGCGACTTCGATAGCAAATTGGTGATATCCACACCTTGCTACTAACAGGTCGATGTGTTAAGCCTGCACCTTCCTGTGGATAACGTTGTACGGAGTAAGCTCCAGATTCTCCACACTCCGCTTCGCGACGCCACAATAAGCTCGTTTCCACACACTCGGCGACAAAATTCGCCCACTGCCTCGCGACAAAACACCAGCTCAATACGACCAGACACCAGCTCCGGTGACGTCTCCTTGGGCGCGCACACGACTAGCACACAATAGCATCTAGCCAGCCTCTCGCCTCATCATCCTTCGAAAATGGGCTCTTATATCGATTGGTCCAAGACGACCAAGTCATCCAATTATCGCGGATCTGGATCCTTCTCGACGTTTATGATCATCGGACGTATGCTTGTCTACGAGCGCATCACGGCGCAACCTAAATATTCATGGGCATGCAGCACGCTAACGTGGCACTTTGTTGTAGCAACTTGCTTTTTCCTCGGAATCCTCTTCGCGTCCTTCCCTTACGACTTCCCACTGCTTTGGAGCAAGGAGCCCGTTCCGGCCAGCTACTATGATCAGATCGAGACACACTTGAAGTTCATTCATCAGTCGCCGCCCCTCATCGGACGAATGCTCAACATTATCGTGAGTGTTGGGTTCCTGGGCCTGTTTATCAAGCTGTTCAGACCTAGCGAGGCCAACTTCCTGTTTGACGGCGCGTCTTTGATCCTCTACACGATTGGTGTTGCAGTGTACATTACCAACATTGTCAAGGGCCTGCGTACCATGAGCTCTGGCTACTTTGACAGCGATGAATTCAAGAATGCCAAGGCTAGGTTCGAAGGCGAAGTGATTCTGGGACGCGAGGACAGCTTGAGGGTGCTCTCTGCCAGCAATACCATCTTGGCACTTGTATTGATTGGCGTTCTGGTTCTGCAGGCCGGTCAGTGGTATGCGGAGAAGAGAGATTCAGACGACGAGGCCGCTCTGGCAGCGAAGAAGGATGCTCCTGCAAGCAAGGCGGCCACCAAGAAGAAGCAGTAAGGTACCAAATCGGAAGGAAGACTCCCAATAGTGCTGAGCCAAGCAAGCTGGGTGGTAGGAATAACAGGTTGTACAATATAGTATTGAGGGACTCTAGCTTTGCCCCCCTTTCCCCCTCCCTGGTTGCCCGAGTGGTGTCGCGATGTTAGGGGTACACCGCATGGATGTGAAATAGGGTTGTGCCAAGAAGGGCAAGTCTGGAGACGGGAGAATAAGAATCGCGTTTGCCAGCTCTAGCCGGACCGAAAGTCTCATAGAATCAAGGTACATTGCATCAAATTGTGGAATGGGTGGACCCATAATATCACCATACGTAAGCCCAAACACACTGAGATCTACGAGGCAGATTTCAGGCAAGTCGAAGCCTGGTGATGCATGGCAATGGTGGGTTTTGGCCAGGTGCGGAGGTATCCCTGGACCGGCCACCACAACTTTATTCGCCCAACCCCCGTTCCGTTCGGGGGGGTTCGAGGTGGTGTTAGTATGTGTGCTCCGTAACTTTGCGGGAATTTTAGTCTCAGCATCTTATCAGATGCAAATGCTGGTCCCATCGGAGCCAGTCAAGCTGGGCACGCTGTGTGGAGTATATGCGGCTAGGCAATAAGGATACTTCTCATAAAATGACTTGTAGCAATGGAGGAGCAAGTTGATGAAACTGGAATCTGATGAGACCACAAAAAGAAAAAAAAAGAAAAAAAAAGAGCCACGGGGCAAGCGCAATCCCCCCTCTTTGGTACCATGATACCGGCCGGGCCGCGCAAGTGTCAATAGTAACATGTCGCTTAATTCGGCAGCATCTCGATACAACGGTGGCGTTTCGGGATGGAAAAAATATAATGGCCAAGCCTGTGCGCCGGAAACACGGCAAGCAGGTTGTGCCAAGCAGAGGCAAGTCTCGTCCCGTCGCTGTCAGTGCAACCGCTGGTGCGGATGTGCAACGGTTTGACCTCGTGCGGGCGATGCTGGGGATATCCCACCAGTTTGTTCCGGGTGCTACCACATGGTCGCAACGACGGGCCAGGCACGTCATTCCTGAGTGGCTAAGAAGGTCAAGCGGATTGGCGTGGTGCTCTGCTATGGGCCGGGTTGCCGTGATGAGAACTGAAGAAGGGAACCCAGCGTGTCAATGCATCCAGTCTATAGATTGCCTGCGACTTGGCACAGTGTAGAATGTTGTGGTTCAATGTTGGTACACATGTACAAGTGTCTGACAAGTCCACGTCACGTCAGCAGACAGAACGCCGAGGTACAGTTTACTTGAGTGCTGCGGGCGCCACCGCATGGGGCGGCAACGTTTGGGTGCAACAAACCTGACAACCACCAGGGCCGAGACCGGTACCGCCCAATGATGCTTGGTACTCCGTACTGTGCGCTCGTCGTGCCTCCTCGAGTCCGGTCGACCGCCATGGCCGACTTGACATGCAGACAAATCTAGAGTCTGAAAGGGGCATCTGGAACCGGTCTGGTTTGGCAGACCGCCAGAAGCTTAAGCACGGAATTTGCAACAACTGGGCATAATTTCGCCCATGGTATCCGTGACACAGCATGTAGTATAATTCCGGCCACTCTGCACCGCAGCATATAGAGCATATAAACCAGTCGGCCGCCATCACCTGCCTGCCATCGTTCCCCTATCTCCTTGTCCTTCTTGGCACATCTCCTTCGATCCTGATCTACTGTCTGCCCGTGGAGCCTTCTATCTGCAGCTGCACATCCCTGCAACCGTCGTCAGAACCATCCCTGTGTCGGTGTGGGCACTCGACTCTGCAGCTTCTCAGTGTTGCGCGGGCAAATGCAAATGCCCCACGTCGGAATCGCTGCGAGACTCTAGAACTACGAAGCCAAACACCTCTGGGGCCCGTCTCTTGCCGTCTGTCTTACATGCAGAAGAGAAATATTACACATGGTGCATAGTGCGACGTCCCAATTTTTGAAAGTCTGACCTCCTCCTCGCGAGAGCTGTCTCCTCACCGGAGCAGACGTAGCGAGGAATCTCCGCCACTTTTTTCTCGTCTCTGGTCACATATATCAGCAGCTTCGTCGGCCCGCCGCCGACTTTCCCTTTGACATGGACCACGCGCAAATCGCTGCCCAAACCTCGTCGGCCATGCCCACGGAGCTGGCGCTTCGGGGCAGCTCGGCGCTCATAGAGGCATTTGAGGGTATTGCCTATGGATCGGTGAGTGCTTGTTGTCTCTCTATCTGTTTTTGGTTCTGTCTTGCCCTGGACGCTAGTTGCAATGAATGAAGCCTGACTTTTTTCTTTTTTCCCTTTTTTGGCAGATTGCTGGCATTGTCGGCAAATACATCGAGTACCCCTTCGACACGGTCAAAGTACGACTACAAAGCCAGCCCGATCATCTTCCTCTTCGATATACCGGCCCGCTCGACTGTTTTAGACAATCGTTAAAGGCGGATGGCTTCTTGGGACTCTACCGAGGCATTAGCGCTCCGCTAGTTGGAGCCGCCGCCGAGACGAGCAGTCTCTTCCTCTTCGAGAAGGTTGGGCGCGAAGCATTGTTCGCTACCGGCCTGGCTTCGCGAGAAAAGGGCCTGTCTGTTCCAGCGCTATGGGTGACCGGTGCCTTCTCCGGGGTTTGTGCTTCCTTTGTCTTGACCCCCATCGAACTCGTCAAGTGCAAAGTCCAAGTGCCTCTGCATGCAGACGGTGCGGTTGCTCCTGCAATGCGGCCACTTGCTGTTGTGCGCAATGTCTTTCGTCATGAAGGGCTACGGGGCTTCTGGCATGGTCAAATGGGAACGCTCATCAGAGAAGGTGGAGGGAGTGCCGCCTGGTTCGGAGCCAAGGAGACGGTCACGTCGCTGTTTTACAACATGAAGACGCACGCGGCCAAGTCTCTGGATGAGGCGAAGAGGATTAGGGCCGAGCCATTACCACTCTGGCAGCAAGCTGTCGCTGGTGCTTCAGCTGGTGTTTCCTACAACTTCCTCTTCTTCCCTGCCGACACAATCAAGTCCCGCATGCAGACCATTGCCGTAGGCACCTTGGCACAGAAGCGGACATTTTGGGACGAGGGCCTCGCGTTATGGCGTCAATACGGAGTGCGTGGCCTGTATCGCGGCTGTGGTATTACTTGTCTGCGTTCAGCACCTAGCTCTGCGTTTATATTCATGGTTTATGATGGGCTGAAGAGGAACTTTCCTCTGCAATAACGGGCGATACCTTGCTCTCGCTCGGAACTCTTTTGTTATTGGGGGACTTGTATCCTTCAAGACAACGCACACTTTAGTTTGTGCTCTTTCTTTCGTTTACTTTCCTGTTTCTGCATTTTACTTATGACGGTCATCTGCAAGGCGTTGAGGGTTACCACTGGGTCTGATTTGCACCACGACTATACTGGGAATGTCAGGTATAGATATAGACGAGTTCAATAAAATTAACACTTTGACGGACAACCTTCTTTTCGGCTCGAATTAGTGTTACAAGCGACGCGTACAATTCGCATATGAACCTGACCCAAACTCCAATGAGTAATCGAAAGTCTTTTCCATATCCCTTTGCTCCCTACTCCTGCTTCACCTCCTTTTCATGCAAGTCCCAACCATTCAAATATCCTGCCCCAACACACAAATACGTTGCAAAGCCCAGCCAACCTAGATACGGAACCTGACACCAGCCAGCAACCTCATCAATCGAGCCCCAAAGATATGCCAAATACCCATTCAGTCCGATGAGTGTGACAATGTCGATGCTTGCTTCGATGGGGCGCTTAGCCACAAAGAAGAGTGGCATCCAGGCGAGATTGAGGCCAAGCTGGACCGTGTAGAGAGTTAGACTGGACTGCGCCGTTTCCACGGTTGCGGGGGAGATGGATGAGAGGCCGATTGTGGCGATGCGGTGGGATGCGTAACCCATAATGCTGGGCTTGTTAGTCTAGAGGCAAACTATACGGCACGAATGATAGGGAGGCTTCCACGGGCTCTGGCAGAGGGAGATGAGATGGGAGGACTGTGACTTGTCCGTGTTGATGCTCGGGGATGATGATGGATATACGCACCCATAGATGACTGTCCATACTGGACCAAATAGCCAAGGTGGTGGTCGCAGAGGAGGCTGCTTCAAGGCCAAGTACGTTTTTTGGGTCTCCGTCGCTGGATAAACAGTCAGCTTGGTGTTGTGCGACGAGGCAGAAGCTAGACGCGTACGGCGCGTTCCAAACCCGACAGCTGTTCCGAGAGCTATTGGGAGTAGCACGGATGCTGCGGGGTGCTGGAGGACAGCTGAGGGGATCGTCAGGGATGGGATGTAGGTCGTCATGGTAATGGGCTTTGCGATACGAGTGGGAAACCTAGTTGTTGTGCGTACTATGAAGTTTGTTGGTAAGGTTGAGGTTGTGGTTATGGTTAAGGTTTGAGCGTTGAGGTTGAGTTGGGTTGGGGTGCCTCGTTCATTACGTCATTTGACTGGTTGCTGGAGGTACCATGGTCATTGCGGGACACGTAACTGGACGGCTCGAAACTTTGACTTGTCGACTGTGATGTAGAATTATATGGAGACGACCTGGTTTTATTTCCTTCCCCCAACCCCGATACGTATCTCGAAGCAAGAATTTGAATATGGTCGGTCACTGTAATTCGACTTGTGAAGCAAAGCGCAAAAAAAAAGATGGCCGAGTGAGTGAATACGGAACGTGGGCAAGCTTCCGCATTGCCTCTTTAATCTTAACACAAGCGTCCCCAGGCCTCTGATTGGGTCAAAAAAAAAATACTCTTCGGTAATTAGTTGATAGAAAAATAGGGATTGAGACGTCTGTAGCATCGTGCAGCAACTAAGGCCGCGGGCGAAAGGTAAAATTAAAAATAAAGCTCCAAAAGGCTCAAATTCAGCAGCTTTAACGGGCTTAAATTCAACAAAGAAGCTTTAAATGTTAAAAGGCCCCGAAAAGGGATCAATGATAAATTACAGGTTCTAGCTCTCTCCGCTTTGCCTATCCCTAGGGCAACTTGCTCGTTGACATTAGGGTCTGGTTTAATCAAACGTTCGAACGTGCAAAACAGAGCATTGACAGAAAACTACATTTTCATTTTTTAAAA